AATGACTAATTTTCACTGGAGATTAACATTTTATTGAGGAAAGGAAAATGGCATCTTTAAAAGATATTGATAGCATCACTTTCCTAACAGAGAGGAAGGATATGGAATCTGTCTTCTGTGCAGATGACATCCTCAGTCTTTGCTGGGCCAGCAGATGTCAAACTATTGAATGCTCATGGTCAGAGAAATTATATTCCATCTGACTATGGAGAAGCATGCAGCATTTAGCAAAGTATGTGTCTGAGCATGATGTAGGCTTTCCTGGATAGCTGAGAAAAGCTTATAAGTGTTAAAAGTGTTATTATAAGTGAATAAGTGTGTTTAAAAGTAAATAATTGAGCTGATACCCTGAGTTTTGCATACTTGCTCATGTTCCATCCAGATAAATCATGACAGTCAGTATGCATGTGTAATAAAAAGGAAGGCTGTGATTATATGCTCTCAAAGCAATCTTGAATTTTGCTTCTGCCTTTCGAAGGTTAAAGGTCAGATATGTTTAGGGTCCTGTGCAAGCATATTGTAACAAAAGCACTTTACATGTGTTTTTATGGTGCTTTTTTTTTTTTTTTTTTTTTTTTCTTTTTTCCTAAATCAGCTATTTTTACAGTCTATTCCTCTTAGCTGTTATGGTTACTGCTGGCTAAGTTGGTCCTAAACAATAAACTGAGTCACACTTCTGTCTCTGCTAATGTCTATGGTTTCTAATGTCAGGTGTCTGAAGACACGCTAAAATATCTTCAATGCCTTGCTTTATATCCAGAGGTAGAATGCTAACTATAGAAGTGAAATCAAAGAGGCTTGTGCCTATATTTCTTATATCATCTGATCATTTGATTCATATGAAAGCATTTCTTTTTTACTACCTCAGCAAAGCAAAAGCAGTGTAACTAAATTACTAGTACAGAGTAAAACCAGCAAGTGGCAGCATTTGACAAAAAGTCTGGGCGATAAGTAGGAAACACAGAAAAAAGAAAAAAGAAAAAGAAAAAAAAAGGAGATTTTCGTTGCATCTAACAGTAAGTTAAGGGCTTCTCCCAGCACTCAGAAAGAAAAGTCTCTTACTTCCGGAATAAATATTTTATCTTTTGCTAGACCAGCTCCTCAATGAGAGAACTCAAAGTCAGTTTCTCACCGATATTTATATACATGTTGAACAAAAATAATCCTACACGTTTTATAGAAAATATTTTATTAAAATTGACCAGGAACAGAAAGATGTATCAAAACAATTTGGAATTTAATTGGAAACTTCTCTGCCATCAATTTAGAATAACATGCAATCAATATTAAAGTCATTATACAGTGTTTTTGGCAGTGCATTTTAAGAAAGAAAATAAGATACAGATAAACCAGATTGGAGGCTGGGGGGAAGATTTCTGTAATTTTCAATCATGGAATCATTGAATTGTTTGAGCTGGAAGGGATTCTCAAAGGTTATCTAGTCCAACTTTCCTGCAGTGAACAGAGAAATAATAACAAAGCATTCAAAAGCCAAAAAGGATGCCAGCATTATTATAAGTATGAACTATGGAGTGTTGTCTGGAGTATGTTCGTTTGGAGCACCAAAGGCATGTGAGGACCAGAAGACAGAGGGGTGAACCAAATTCACAGAAGAGTAAGACTTTCCCCAACCTTTAAACACTATGGTGTTTCATGAACACCATAAATGGACAGAGAAGCGTCCTTCAGGCCTGCTTTTCTTCTTGTTGAAGTCAATGAGCTGTTTCTCATTGATTTCAGCTGCAGCAGCCACAAGTGCTTTGTGTCTCAGGTTTGTTCAAGACAAACTTCTTACCCTTTTTATGTTATCACAGTAGAGAAATAGTGTTTTGAGGTTGAGAAAGCAAACATTATAAAACTTAGGAAATTTGTCTTCTTCCTGTCGCAGCTGTATACACAGTCTTCAATAAAATATGTTTTTCCACAGCTTTGTTTAGTTCAGAAGATAAATCATGACCTAGCTATAAAAACTCACATGTTAAAGAAAGTTTATGAAGAACAGTTAAGAAGCTGTGAGAAATTCCAAAAATGAGATTAATTTCCAACATGCAGTGGTGTAAACAACTTTACTATGCAGCTTTAAATAAAGTAGGTTTCCTTTATGACCCACTCTCTAAACATCTTTTTAAACTCCCTCATTACTACTTGAGAAAATCTCTTGAAAGCTTTTTTGGATCTTCCTATTCATCTCTGAGAGGACTTCTCCACCCACCCACATTTCTCTATTCTCTCCCTGCCAAGCTAGTGTGCGTTTTATGAGCTGAAAACAAGATGCAGTCTTTGGCCTTGGGAAATGTGGCCTTTACGTTTGAAGCTTTAATCAGCACACTGACAGAACTGACTGCAGTCTCAACATCTCAGTGAATGTCAGGTTAATCTGCAATACGTTTTAATTAAAAGCAATAATATTCTATGCTGTTCCAGTGCTCAGTTAATTGCTTACCACCTCGCCTACCAGCAGGCTCCACAGGGCATGAACACTACATCTGAAATACCTTATGAGGAATTCATAACACGTTAGCCAAGAGCCTGGAGGTTACACATAACTTAAAGTAAATGGCAAGGATGCTATGTAATATGCTAAGGCTAAATCACCTAATTTGGAGCAAAATATCTACTTACTTGGAATCATAGAATCATTAAGGTTCGAAAGGCTGCTAAGGTCATCTAGTGCAACCATCAGCCCACTCCCACCATGCCCCTAACTTCAGTGCCATAACTCCTCAGTTCTTGAGCATCTTCATGGATGTGACTCCACCACCCCCCTGGGCAGCCTGTGCCAATGCATCATCACTCTTTCGGAGAATAAATGTTTCCTGATATCCAATCTGAACTTCTACTCTTACTCTTGGAATAATAGCTGTATATCAGATATTTCCAATGCATAATGCAATAGCCTAGTCAGTTCCCAAATGCTATAAACAATTCAGAACCAATTTAAATACCCGCATAAAGTTTAATCAGCTTTGGCTGTGTCCTTAATTTTTGGATGAGAACCATCATAAAGTACCACAGTACCACAAAATAAACTAATATAATAGATTCTTAAATGCTATGAAATACGGAATCATAGAATAGAATCATAGAATCGTTTGAGTTGGAAGGGATGCTTAAAGGTCATCTAGTGCAACTCCCCTGCAATAAACAGTGATCTACAGTTAAATCCTCACTTAGCAGTAGCTCTGTATTACTGTTTGATTATCTAAGCTCACAGGTTCTGCTTCTTTTCGTATGGGCACTGGGGGATGACAGATTTACAGAGGCCACAATGCTCTCATGTGAGTGGCATTTCCGGGAACAAAAACTAACTTTGCCAATACTTGCACTGTGTAGGTCAAAAGTGTCCAAGCTTTTCCTGGACCAGGAAACAAGTATGATTTTCAGACAGTATACACGGTCCAGCACCAATTACAAATGCAGAGGCAGTGATACACACAACAGATGCTTGCTGAATCCACAACGAGGTGATGCACACTCTAACTGCTGCTCCAGCAAACTCTCACAGCCTCTCTTCTGCTTCTGCCTGCCATCCTTCACTGTACAGCACAGCTGACGTTTATCTGAGTTTCTGTGTTGAAGTAACAGATTAAGCCCAGCTCTACAACAACATTTAGAAATGTACCAAATTCATTGTCAGAGTGTTAGGAGCCATCCAGGAGCCTTTGACTCTCCAGTTATCAGCACTGAGCATCCCCTATCTCAAACAGATTTGGGCTGCTTTAATGGACTTGGGGCTCTCTAGAACAAGAAAAACCTGTCTGTGCTTCCATCAGCTAACTCCTTTTTAAGAGACAGGGAGTCATGTCTCACTTTAGGGAAGAGAGCTGTAATATCTCAAAATAGAAGCATGTTTTGGTCACCAGAGTGGGCCCAGAACTGAGTTCCAGCACTCACAGTGCTCCTCAGGCTCTGATTTCTTACATTTGGTGTTCAGTTTGGTGCAGGAAAAAAGAAAACTCTGGATTCATTATCTGACGTGCTAAAACCAAGTTCTAACAGAGAGATTTGGAATAAGAAGAATCACTACAGCTGTTTTAATCAAGAATGGTCTCTGGTTTTTATTTATTTATTTATTTTAAGAAAAAGGACTGCAGGCAACCCTGCAGAAGTGCCATGGGTTATTTCTGTGGTGGGATGAGTTGGTGACATCCCTCATCTGTAAGAGTGTGTTGTTGTTATATGCTCAATAGGTGAGCTGTGGCCACAGCTGTCACAGAAAGAACTCATCGTTGACTCCATTTGGGAGAGTCAAAGCCAAGAGGGTGCTGGAGAAGATGTGTCTGACTGCTTTGGACATGACTTCATAGAAGAATAACACTATTCTGAAGGTGAGAAACCTCAAAGGGAATCTAGTAGAGTATTTTGGGCAGGTGCTGAGATTGTGGCAGATGAGGCTGCAGACATAGTTCCTGTAAGCTTAGACACATCCTGGTGGTCTTACACCTCCTGGGCTGTGTATGCACCAACCCAAAACAGCTGAGCGCAGTTCTGTGGAAATCCCGCAGACTTGCATGGTCCAACTCTGAGAAGGAACAGTCTGGGGTTGTGTACATGGGAGGAGTGGCATTAGATGCGTGGAACTTGCATCTTCCCTCTGGGGTAACGTGAAGTCAGCGCTGTCCTCTTTGCCCCAGGGGATAAGGAGCAAAGGGGACGGAGGTATGGCTGCGAGCAGCGGTCACAGCGGGTGTTGGGAATGAGCACTGAGTTTCTTGTTCACGTTCTCCCCCTTGTCTTTCTTTCTCATTTGCCATCTCCCTTTCTTTTCCTTTTCCCTTCCTATTTTCTTCTCCCTCCCTCCTTTTTCCCTCCTCCCCTCCCTCTTCCCTGCTACCCCCCAGGGTCACTTCCCCGTGCGCACAGCCGAGCGGGGAGCTCGTCGGCTCGGCTCTTAGCGCGGGGCTGCGGGGCGGCTCCCAGCTTTGAGCCGGCCGGGGCGGTCCCACCGTCGTCCCCTCCTCCTCCTCCTGCCTGCGCGGGGCAGGGGAGCGCCCCGCCGCCGCCGAGCACAGCGCCAGCTGCGGCGTGGAGCTGCTGCCGGACCCCTTCCTCCTTGTCCTCCTCCTCCTCCTCCTCCTCCTCCCCCCCCGGCAGCGCATCATGGCCCCCCCCGGGCTCTGCCTGCTGCTCCTGCTCCTGAGCAGCTCGGAGCTCGCCCCCCCCGCCTCCGCGCAGCCCCCGCCGCAGCGCGGCAGCGTGTGGTGCCCCAGCCGCTGCCTCTGCTTCCGCAGCACCGTGCGCTGCATGCATCTGATGCTGGAGAGCGTGCCCGCCGTGTCGCCGCAGACCACCATCCTGTGAGTGGCTGGAAGCGGGAGGGGATACCTGCGGGGAGGGAAGCACTCGGGGCGGTGGTGGGGCCTCGGCCCTTTGTTTGCAGCCGGGGGAGGGGGCTCGGCCCCGCTGCGGAGCTCCCGGAGGCTGCGGAGGGCCGCGTTTGGGCGCTGCGGAGGGGCTGGCAAGAGTGGGAGCGACGGGACGGGTGGATGAGGGCTGTCCGCTCGCTGCGGAGGAGTGGTGTCCGTGTAGGAGCAAACCGGGATTCAGACGTTGGCCTTACCCGCTTCGAGTCACTACAGAACTTGAGGACGTGCAACCCTAAGGACCGTGCGGTCCTGTGCTTAAAGCAGGCGGGACTGAACTGTCAGCTGAAGCGCCCATCCGGTCCTCTGCGGGGTCAGGGCTCGGCTCTTGGGAGCGGGATTGCGGCAGGAAGTTGGAACTAGACGATTTTTGAGGTCCCTTCCAACGCAAGGTATTCTGTGGCTGTGGTTGCGTTGGCTGTAAGATTTGGCGCTGCAGAAGCTCAGCACTCACGTTGGTCTTATTGAGGCGGTCATCTTCCCGGCCATTTTTTTTCCCCCTGACAATAAATGCAAAGTTCTAAGGAAGCATTGTGTGCAGGTTCCTGTCAAGGGAAGGGTTTGTTCCGCTGATCCACTCGTGTGCTGCTGCAGTCAGAGCTCCTGGCACCAGCCCTGTCCATCCCTGCACACATGCACTCATGAAAGCAATGCTTGGCCATGGGAATCTTCTTTCTGGGCCTCCTGTAATAAATGGAGTTGTGACTTTGTCAGGTATTTTCATAGGGGATCCATAAAGCTGTGGTGTGCTTCAGCTTGCAAGTGTTGTTTAATGTGAGGAGTGCAGTCACTAATGTTTTAACTGAGTTCCTCCTTGGCAAGGAGCTTGTCCTTTTGGCAGAGCCCGATCGGTCCGGCAGCACTTGTAAGCCTTTTAGGGAACAATTCAGGAAGTGGGTGGTTAATGTTTCTTACATTTGAAATAAAGTACATTCACAGAACACCTTCTGCATGGAACTTACAGGAAACCATGTAAAACTAGTTGTCCAAATCGTCTTAAACAAGTTAAAAATAAAAAAATACAAATTATGAACTTTAGAGTATGGAGGGAAATCTTTTGTTTCACAGTAGAGGTAGTGAGAAATAGAAGAGCTGCCATGGCACAAAGTGTTTGATGGCCCTGGCCAGGGCAGAGCTTCCCTTATGGTGGGTATTATTAATCTTGCAGTGACTCAGAGCAGAATGTATGAACAATGTGAGCATTATGTCCTCTAACACCACTAATATATCATATTGTTTAGTATCCCAAATCAGAGTGGTCATTTTGGCATAATGCATCCTGCAATGCTGCAGAAGTAATTAAAAGGAAGTTACGGCATTCTTTTTCAACTTGACAAAGAACAGTAATTCTCCAAATAGGCTGTGGGTGACCATTGTTCTTCAAAACGTAATGGGGCCTTACTTTTCATCTGAGTATTGGCATTTTCCTTTTTTTAGTAGCTGACAAGGGTCAGCTGTAAATATGCTAAGGTCTTCAGTAGTACAACTTTTATAAACACACAGTTACTTCTTTTGCTAGGGTTCTGCTGAATGGGAGTGGAGAGGAGATGAAGTGGAAGATAATCTGGCAATATGTGTCCCTGGGACAAAGAACACTGATACAACTTGTTTAGCAACAAGCATGGCCAGGTTAGATGCGGCCCTTGGCAACTTGATCTAGTGGGTGGCAACCCTGCTCAGAGCAGGGGGTTGGAATTGGGTGGGCTTTAAGACTCCTTCCAACCCAAGCTGTTCTGTGGTATGATTCTGTGAGTGTATGCAAATACGCTTGCCTACTCTATGAACTGCTTACCTTTAGTTCTAGGAAGTATGGCATCTGTCTGAAGTGCTCCTTGAGTTACCAGGTGATGTGATGACCAAATTTACCTTACTGCTTTGTGGAACTGCAGTTTCTTTTTTTCAGCATGAAATCAAAAGCATTTATTTCTCTGCCGGTTTGATTGTCTTCTGTTTGGAGGCTGTATGTTAAATGCTTTTTAGTGGCGGTGATGGTAGCTAGGTAATTAGAAATAATGAGTTAGCTTCAATAGAGCATCTCTGGCTTTAAAACAAGGACTTAAGACTTCTGGAAAATTGTGTTGCTAGTGGATTAAGCCCATTTTACAGATGTTTGTAAATTCTGTATTTGTGTCTGCTTTATTTATTTCTTAAGACACAGGTTACCTGTGAGGTAATGTTCTAACAACATTGTGTTTTCTTCTTTATAAACATATATTTATTTTGTGTTTTTCCAAGCTTTGGTTCTGAAAGCTGTTGCATTTTTGGAAGCAGAGTTGACTTTGTTCTACTTCACATATAATTTTTTCTATGGATTAAAACAGCATGGGGCCAGAACAGCAGTGCAGCCAAATGTTTTTTCTCCACATATCAAAAATGTCTACTCATAATCCCAGGCTCGCTTTTGAAAACTGCTTGTAACACTGCTGGTTGCTGACCTTGCCAGCGTTACTCCTGGCTGTACATTTTCTCACTCTTCCTGCTTCTCCCACTTTTTGGCACTTCCCCTTCCCTGCTGCAGGCTGGGATCCATGGCATAGATTTCTTTCATGCAGGGGCTTCTCGCAGCTTCAAAAGTGCTTATGGCATCTTATATGAGCACATGATTTCACCTACGATGAGGGGATTGTCCTTCTATACATAAAAGATGTGATCCTCTTTGTGTAGAAGGAGGTCTAGCATCCCAGTGATAGAATCATAGAATAGATTGAGTTGGAAGGGACTTCAAAGATCATCTAGTTCCAACCTGCAACTGCGGGCAGGGTTGCATACTGGTAGATCAGGCTGCCTATAGCCCCATCCAGCCTTGGCCCACACCTGATTTTTCCTTGAGAGTGAAGCCTCATTTCCAGAGTCGATTGCAGAACTATTTCATGCCTTCAGTGTTGTTGTGGAAGGTTCTTCAGTCTCTAACTGAAAATTAAGTGCTGGTGTACCCACATAAATTGCTTTATGTTTGAGACCATTGAAGTGGTTGAGGGATGTAAAATTCTGGGTATGGAACTGCTGCTGTCCTTTCTTCCCTGATTGTACCTAATCTTACTTTTGTTTAGAAGATATTTTAAACACAGAAATCCCCTGGGATTTAACAGCCATTTCTAACTCATGGCATTTGTAATTCTGACAGGAGGCCTTTGAGTGTTGAAGCAGTATGTCAGTATTTGCATCTTCTCTCAACAGGACCAAAACTCAAACCTGTCTACAAGCCTGGCTACACACACTCAAACCAGTACTGAAATTTGTCCAAAGTTTTACTTGGCAGCAGCTGGATATTCATTCGTTGTTTTTTTTTTTTTTTTGTTTTTTGTTTTTTGTTTTTTTTTTTTTTTGCTGGCTATGTAATGTTTGCATGCTCTATGAGCATGATTGTATTCCCTCTAGTTGGGGCTCAAAGACTGAATAAGAATAGAACCTCACTGTGTAGTAAGCAGGTAAGAATTGACCAAAAGTATTTGTAACAAAAGGAAGTGGATTTGATCTGCACTAAGAATGACAGGCAAATTATTGAAAAGGAGAATACAACTTAAGTCACTTGTAGTAGTGTTTGCTAGATATAATTGCTACTTTGATTCTCTTCTGTGTCTGTTATGAATAGCATAACAGAATAATCATATTTGTATTAGGAAGTGTAATTTCAAGTGATCAGAGTTTTGTAGGACTTCTTTAATTGTAATCATTCTGGGTGAGTTGCTACTGGAAGGGAGTCACTGAAGGTGAATTGAAAGCAGCAATCTCAGTGACACTTGTTACTTGTTACACCATGCCTTTGGTCACAGTTCCAACATATTCTACAAATTGAATAGTTTACATATTTTTTGAGGGCTGCTTTGAAAATAATGCCTCCTATTTTATGATATTGGCGCATGACATCAAAAGCTTACATTGGTAGAGTGGCAGTAGAGGTTGAACTTTCCCACCAATATTCTCTTAAGTTTTGTTAACATGTGACAGATAGCAGCACAAGGGAGGTCTGACAAAATGGACTCTGACGTGGAAGGGCATATGAAGCAAAGGTGTGGAATTGGGTTCCTTCATGTGGAAAAAATGGCTCCCAATGAAGCTTGTTACATGTTTACGTAGAGCAAATGGTCAATGTGAGCACAGTGGGGTGGTGGGTGGTGCATTTCAGCAGTGATGTTAGTGATATGAAAAGCAAGCCGTTCCTGTCAGACATACATGTCACACCACATAATTCAGCTCATCTAGGTGAACGGCCTAATGGTGGTGACTATCTTGAGAAACAGTATTTTGTAGCTGAGAATTTGCTCTATGAAACAGTGTTACTCTTTGTATCTATTGTAGTTTCCATCCAAATAAATAGGAGGCCTTACTTTTGGAGTGACCTACCTACAAATTGGAAACTTTTTCCTTTTTTTAACTTCCATCTTACAGTATAAATGTCAAGGATTCATCCAAAGGAAAAAGAGAAATTATTTCTTAAATTCCCTCCAGAGTTTCTAGATAGTAGAATAAGAAGTATTTATATTTGCCTCAGAGTTCTGTTATAATTTCTGTGGAATCAGGTCTTGTGTATTCAGAATGCTAGTGAAATCCATTCTTTTCAAGAACATCTGTCTTAATACAATTGGAAACAAGAAAAAAAAAAAAAGAGACTGTATTTCACAAATCACATACATCTGGAGTGTAAATGAATTACCAAAGAGATGGGGGTAATGGAAACTTACTGCTGTTTTTATATTGATTTGTTGATAACATTATGCCTCCTAACAGAGGCATTTAGGAAAAAGGAATAGGCAATATGTAAAATTTCTGTCAATGCAGGAGTCTCTGAGCTATTACAGTGGAATGATGTGTGCTACTTGCAGATCTACTGTTTGCAAGTAGTGCATTATCAGTCAGCAAAGCATCATGTTATTCTCATCTCAAAAATGCAGGATTCTTGCTTCCAATCAGATCTTTGAAAACCTTTTAGAGAA